GAGTTTGTGAATTTCAAAAAGTCAGGAGAGCAAGTCACCCAAAGTCCAGGAGCCCAGAAATGGATCACAGGCCAAATTTTGTATCAAGGCCCAAAGATCCAAGAACAGCCTTTGGAACCCAGACCTATTCATTATCGTCAAGAAAAGGATTCATCCAGCAGATAATGCTGTATTTGGATATGAATGTTCTCCCCCTATAATCAAGCTACTATAATGAAGAGTGTGCCCCCAAGGAAGTAGGAAGGAAATATTTTAACTCCCTGACATATTTCAAAGTAAAGATCTCTTTGTAAAAGCTAATTGATATGTATTGGTTAAATGGAACTGGGATTCTAATCACTGGTGGCTAAGTGTGAAGGAATATCTCAGAATGGATACTCAAACCAAAGACATTAGAGAAGAAATATCTCCAATCCCTCTGGGATACCCATAGAACCCTGAGGAGAAAATGTAGCTGGTCTTAATTTGGAAGAGACTCCCTACAGTTAATAGTAAGCACTTTTAAAGTATATAGTACCATGACTCTGGCCTTATTGGTTGAAGAAATTGCCCATTACTAATTACCATTTGTGTGTTCTACATGAGGTAGGGGTGGGGTAGGAGTGAGGTTAGAAGTCCAGAAACAAAAACAAACAAACAAACAAAAAATTCCCTCCAAGATGGGAAATTGAGCGATGAGACTGTACAGGCAAACAGGAAGGCAGATGATACAGGCAGCTAGGCTACGACATTTATAAAATGTTCATTGGTCCCAAGGTGTGCTTGTTACTCAATTCTGTAAAGCAAATTTGATTTATTCAATTCAACAAGCATTAATAAAGGGCCTACTATTTGCTAGGCACTTTGTTGTTCACTGAGGGTACAAAGACAAAAAGGAAATAGTCTGTGCCTTCCAGGGGTTTACATTCTTTGGGGGGCATTATATGCATACAAATAAATACAAAACACATATGAAACATGTACGACAGAGCGAAATTAAAGAATTGTAGGATCTTCCCAAGGCAGCACTACTGTATGAGAAAACAGCTTTCAGTGAAAGGGATAAAATTTTTCTCTAATCTCCATTGATTTCCTCCCTCTAGAGAATCACAGGTATTGCTGATGGACATTTAAATGTAAGGTTTTCATGCCTGTCCTTTACCCCTGATTTCTCATGGCAGAGTTGCCTAGCAACAAGGAAGAAAAATGAGAAAAGGAGAAATACTTTCGCATCTAAGAAAAATCAATCAAATTTTATTTTATCCTTCTGGGCCCAGAAAAAGGGTGGGCTCACCCTGTCTACCCTAGTATTGCAGTAATGAAGATGTAGAGCTGGAAGGGACCTTAGAGGTCATCTAGTCCACCCCCCTTATTTTACAGAAGAGAAACTGAGGCCCAGAGAGGCTAAGTGAATTGCCCAGAATCCCACAGAAGGAGAATGTGGCAGAGCCAGAATTCCATAGTCCCATCCTACTCTGCTATGGTGACAAGAGGGTTGTAATCTTTGTCCCAGAAGTGCTATAGGCCCAAATTTAATGGAAGGACTGAGATATAAAAGGACAAGAATACTAAGTTATCGTGGCATAGGACCTTAGAAATCACAGATCACACAATTACAGAACTACCCTGGAGGCTGGGAAATTTAAAGATTAAGGGACTTATACTCCTATGCACAAGCCTTCTCTTTTGGGGAACTCTTTTTAGGCTGGAATGACCTCATGTCTGGCAGAGGCCCTGGAACTGTGGGCTCCAATGTCACAAAAGCAAAATTCTGTGGGGAGAAAGTCTTATTCTCTTTTCTCTATTTAGTCTCTGCTTGCTTTTATGTACATTAGATTTTTTATATTAATAATAGCTAATTGCTAACATTTTTGTAGCACCTGTTGTATACCAGGCACTATGCTTTACAGATTTCATCTCATTTGATCCTCACAACATCTCTGGGAGGTAGGTGCTAATTATAACAAATATCTCATGCAAAGAAATTGTCTCATGGATTGGCATGTTTATTTTTTAGCAAAAATTTCATGCAGTATTCTAGCACAACAGAAAGAACTCTGCAGCTTCAATTAGAGGACCTGTTCTTAAAGCCCAACTCTGTCATCTCTTCAGGTTTGACTTTAGGCAAGTCACTTGACATCTCTGGGCCTCAGGTTACTGATTTGTAAAATAAGAGGAAGGCAGCTAGAGAGTGAAGTAGAAAGAATACTGGGCCTAAAATCAAGAAGACCTGAATTAAAATATAGCTTCAGATGCTTCATGGCTGTGTGACACTAGGCAAGTCACTTAAATTCTGCCTCCTTCATTTTCCTCCACGTAAAATGGGGAAAATAATAACATCCACTTCCCGGAGTTGTTGTGAGGATCAAATGAGATAAAAATTGAAAAAGTGCTCAGCGCATAGCAAGGGCTCTCTGAATGTTAGTTATTATTAGGTGAGATAATATTTGTAAAGCACTTCAGTACCTCGTACATAGTAGGTACTTAGTAAATACGCATTTCTTTCTTTCAATGAGAAAATCTCCAAGATCCCTTCCAGTTCTAAAAATAATAATAATAAGAGCTAGCATGTATTTGGCTCTTTAAAGTTTACAAAGGACTTTACAAATATTATCTCATTTAATCCTCACAACAACCCTGGGATGTAGGCGCCATTATTATGCCCACTGTACAGATGAGAAAACTGAGACAGACAGAAACTTGCTCAGGGTCTCACAAAGTACATCAGTCTAGATTTGAGCTTGGGTCTTCCTGATGCCAGGTCCAGTGCTCTACCCACTGCGCAACCTGGCTGCTTCTAGTTCTATAATTGTGTGATCTGTGATTTCTAAGGTCCTGTCCAGCATGAAGTCTATTATCCTATTTTAACCATATGTATTTGTTCTTATTTTCAAAGAGGAATTCATCTATGCAAGATTAATCAGATGCAATGTACTGAGATGTACTACTCAAGGGTCAAAAGTCAAAAAATTCCTGGGTTTATAAAACTACTTCTACTAGGAAATTCTGGGTAGTCACCTTTGTAACAAACACCTACACTACTGTTAACAAGATAGTGAATTACAGGCTGTTAGAGAGCTAGAAGAGACCTTAGAAATGAGCTGATTCATTTTACAGTTGAGGAAATAGTCAGAAGAGAGGTAAGGGATGGCATCAGACTTGGAATCACTGGACTGGAAATCAAGTTCTGGTCCTATCATTTACCAGAAAACTTGCTAAAGAAGACTTGTTTTTTAAAGTGGCACTGAATGGAATTTAATTTTGTCTTTACAAATTGAATCTAAAGACAACTATTAATAGAATATGGAAGTGCTGTAAGATGCTCGAAGTTCCACATTCCTTGGTATTTTACCATAGTTGGCAACTGACCCCTGGAGGGGGCAATAAGACAGCCTTCCCCTCCCCAGCTAGCTCAGGCCAGCGTAGGAATGTTCCCCAAAGGGTCATGAACTGAGGGTGTGGCTTCTGTGGTGAATACTGAGTAGGATCTTCTAGATCTGATGATATCAAAATGAGGCCCTTGGACTAGATTAAGAAGGTGGTTTTCTGATTCTTAATGGGTTCAAACCTTTTCACTCATAAACGGCCTAGAGTGGCTGGCCAGTTCCGGTAGGGCAACGCAGCTCTCTCCCTCCCTCCCTCCCTCACTCCCTCCCTTCCTTCCATGCTTCTTTCTTTCCTTCCTTCCTTCCTTCCTTTTTCCTTCCCTCCTCTCCCTCTGTCTACAGGAATCATACACTTACCTGCAAGTACTCTGCCCAAAGGAATATAAATTTTGATCACTGAAACCTCGCAATATATCTTGGGGTTTATGGGCTAGATTTCTTTTTTAAGGACCATGGCTTAAACCCAAATCACTCTGGCTCTCATTGATTGGCCAACTATAGGTCCCAATCCAAGCCTCATCTGGTCATTGTTTGGGCTCTGATTGGCCGAGAGTGTAAATAGCAATTGTTTCTGTTTTGGCCAGAAACCCTGAGGGTCTTCCCCTCCCAGATTGATTTTGTTTTTTCTAGATAAAAGAGGTCATTCTTTGCCTCATTTCTTCTTACCTAGCTTTAATCATTGATTGGGTGTTGCCTCAGACAAACTGAGACCTGGGAAAGACCTTAACTTAGGCCAAGGTATCCCACTGCATCTGGGGCCATCTCCAGTCACCCTGATGTACATCTTACCACAGGACCCAGATGGCTCCAGAGAAGAGAGTGAAGCTGGTGACTTTGCACAGCCCTGCCTCACTTAAATCCAATTCACTTGCAAGTCATGACATTAACTTCCCGATATCATGGTCCTCTTCGCGGACAAACAACAGTAACAAGAGCGGAGCTTACAACAGGAAGTTCTGCCACATTTGGGAGTGGAACTGAGTTATAGCTTCACTTCCTAGCTTTAGGCCACATGTCTGAGAGTACTTCACCCAGTTTGACTAGAAGTAGTAGACCTGACTTCATTCAAGCCCTTTGAGATGGTTGCTCTTGACCTTTACTTTTTCTTCCATTTAGTTGAGCTTTGAGTTAGAAATTGTCTGAATTGGCTTAAGCAATAGTGGAGACTAGCGGGTACCCCAACTTCTCTGTAGACAGAGGTAGAGAGAAGATTAATCTTCTAGTGAGTAGAGAAATAAGCAGTCTATCCGTCTGTCTGTCTCGATCAAAAGAGCTGAAAGCCCACTGGGAGTCATGTTCAAAGAATATACATTGGGCCAAGGAAGCATATTAATCTACTAATAATTATTCATTCTATGGATTTAAGATTATTGTTAAAAGTTTTATTTTCACTTTATAAGACACATTTTCAATAGACTGGTATGTGTTGTTGAATTAATATTTCACCTGATAGCCTATCTGTCCTCAAGTGCTTAGCATTTTCAAAGAAATGCCAATGATCCCTTAGCCATGAACATGGGTGCTTCCCAAACAGCTGTAGCAAGCCCACAGGCAAATGCAATGAATTTGACAAACATATTTTCAATAAAAAGAAAAAATAATTTCCCACACAAGAAGCTTTCAATGCTTACTTACCTTTGATTAGTCTCTCGGGCCTTGTCCCCGGCAAGGTCCACATTGCCTGTGCCAAGTGTCCAAAGACAGTGGCATCAAGAGTGGAAAATTTTGGTCCCATAATGTACTTTTTATCACCTACAATAATGAAAGAGTAAAGTGAGCAAAGCCAGTCTCTACTTTTCTCAGATGATCTTAATGACTACATCTTAAACCATTTTTTAAAAAAAACTTTATAATCCATTCTATTTTATCTTTTATTTATTTATGGATGGTCAAAAATCATTCACCTTTTCTTTGGAAAAAATAAAAAAGAAAACATATATCAAATTATGAGGAAGAAAAGCCAAGCAAACAAAACAATATATCATACTCAAATACGGTCAAATATGGCAATGACCCTGAAAACTCTGAACTGGATCCACACTAACAGGTGAGAACTTCAGCTAAATAGAATGAGAATTGCTAAAGATGACATCTCTATGAGAAATTCCTTTCTTCAAATCCTGACAATTAATTCTTATAGCCAGTTATATAACTGGAACTAGAGTGGGGCAAGCAGGGCTTTGCATAGTTAGCAAGAAAATTTAATCAAAATAAGAGGTTGCCAAATGGATCTCATTTTCTCTCCCTTCCTCTCCACCCCCATATCACTGAAATGGTTACATTGTGCAGGTTGATCTGCTGGTGATTCTCTTTCCTTCTTCCTCAACCAAAATGAAATAGATTTGAGAATACAGTCATATGGCTTGCCCAGAGCATTTTGTGAAGCTCACTCTGGGCAAGAAAATTCCAGTTATGACTCTGACTCATTCTACCGGAAAAAAACATAAAGAAAAATTCTCCCTAAGGTAACAAAGGCCCAAAAGATGTAAATGTAAAGATGTAGATCTTTAGATATAAATCTGACCCAAGGCCAACAATGTCCATGAAATATCACCCCAGGTGGGAGGAGCCTGAAGATTCTTTCCATTATTGGGAACTGAAGAGACACACTGATGAGAAATGGATGCAGATTTTTCAAGGACGTAAATTCTTTTCCATTATCTTATTAAATAAAAAGCAGTAATAATGTTTTCCACTGACAGACTGAATCTTACATCTGGATATCAATATGGTTTATAAACAATTCCAGTGACACCACTCCCATCCTTTCCTAATAGTGTAAATGAAGAGCAAAAAGTGCCTCTCCAGGACTATTTGGGGAGTCTGAAGCCACAGAGGACTCAAGAGTAAAGGTAAAAGCTTGACTTCTAGTTTCATGAGTTAGCCATTAAATCATACACAAGTCCAACTCTTTCCTAAATCTGAATCACTAATGTCTTCTCCTATCATGTGAAAGATTGTGGTCCACTCTAAGTTTTCAATGTACACTACTATGCGGATATATTATCAGGAAAAAAAAATTCATTTCTCATGACCCCTCAACTTCACAGACAGACCTTACTTTATTCAAAATAAGGGAACACTCCATTCCATGAGTGCTTATTTGTGTTCACACTGACCTTTGTAATCATTTTAATTCTCTCTGCTACACCATGAGACTCACCAAGGAGCAAACAGCAAATAAATAGTCCGATATTTTAGGACGCTTAGCTCCTTCTCAATTAAATTTACTGCCTCTTCAGAACAGCCTAGATGGCCTATATCTCATGAATTTTAGCTCATATAAAAGTCATCACAAAAATCTTCAGATGGCAAACAATTTTACATATGTCTCCAACTGCATTCTTTGACTCTGTGGTCTTCTATACTTAACACATAGAAGGGAGGTAAGGAAGAGGCATTATCATCTGCTTTGTTGCTGTACGTACCCTAAGGACCATGGGATGTTTCCATCTGACTTGCAGCTGAAACCTTCCATATGTGTTATCTCCTTATTGAATGTGAGACCCCTGGGAGCAAGGACAATCTTACTTTTCTATTTGTACTAAGTACTAAGTACAGTGCTTTCTTAGCATATAGTAAGTGCTTTTAAAATGCTTTAGTCATTTATAAGTCATTCTTAACACAACTTCTCTGCACTCAGTTTCTTCACCTTCAAAATGAGAAAGTTGTATATCAGATTGCTTGCCATCTTGGAGAGAGGGGAGGGAAAAGAGGGAAGGAGAAAAATTTGGGAACTCAAAATCTTATAAAAAATGAATGTTGAAAACTATCTTTACATATATTTGGAAAAAGTAAAATATTATTTACAAAAGGAAAAAAGAAAAAGAAATGAGGAGGTTGGACTACATGGCCTCTATGGTACCTTTTGGTCCTAAAAGTTATGATCCTGACCAACCAATTGGAGCTGCTTGGTTCCATTTGCTTATATGACAATAAAACCCTGCTTGACCCCCTGCCGTGAGAAAACTATCAAAGTGAAAAAGATCAACAGTGTCAATAAGAATGAATATAGAGAAAAAGCCATTAGATTTGGCAATTAAGAAATCATTAGTAACTTTGGAGATGTGCAGTTTTGGTTAAAACATGCAGCTCAAAGACAGACTAAAGAGAGTTAAGAAGAGAGTGGGAGGAAAAAAGGGGAGATACCTATTGTAGAGGGCCTTCCCAAGGAGTTTAGATACAAAAAGGAGGCAAGATATGACAGCTAATGGGATGGAAGATTGAAATGGGGTTTTTTTTTGAGAACAGGGAAAAAACAGACTTGTTTGTAGGCTGTAGGAAAGCAGCTAGTAGATAGGGAGTAATCTGAAGATGGCCAAAGACGGCTAGACCTTATAAGTAGATAAATAATCTAATCATTAGACTCTAATGTAAGCTTGGCCTAATGTAAGCATGCTCATGGACTTTAGAGCATGTGAAGATATTCTATTACAGTTTCATGTTCTCTGGCCTTATGGTGAAGAAAGATACCTTTTGTTTTCTGCCACCACAAAGAGAGCTGTTAGTAACATTTTAGAACATATAGGTTCTCTTCCTTTTCCTTTTCTTTTTTCTTTGGAAATAGACCTAGTAGAGCTTGGATTACAACCAAGGATCAAATACCCAGCGAAAATAAGCATGATCTTTCAGGGGAGAAGATGGATATTCAGTGAAATAAGGGACTTCCATACCTTCCTGATAAAAGGACCAGAGCTCAACAGAAAATTTGATGTTCAAATACAAAACTCAAGAGAGACATAAAAAGTTAAACGGGACAGAAAGTAACAACATGTTATTAATAAGGACAAACTCTTTACATTCCTACAAGGGAAGATGACACTTGTAACTCTTGAGAACTGTATTGTTATTACACCATGTTAAAGGGGTATACATAAAGGGGGTGGGTATAAATTGACTTTGATATAATGATGAAAAAAATCCAATCAAGTGGGTTAAATGGATCCAAGTAAGTGAATTGATCTGATCTAACTAAGAAAATGTACTGAGAGAAAAGGAAAGGAGGAGTCAGACAAGATGAGCATTGTTTGAACGGAGCATTGTTTGAATGTTACTCTCATCAGATTTGGCTCAAGAAGGGAATAACATAATCAGTTAGGCATAGAAATCTAACTTGCCCTATTGGCAGTAAAAGGGAAAAGGGGAAAGAAAAGGGAGGGGGCTAATAGAAGGGAGGTGGTACTGAGGGAGGCGGTGGTCAAAAGGAAAACATTAGTGAGGAGGGAAAAGGAGAAAGGAGAAAGAAAAGCATAAACAGGGGAGGGGGGAAAGATGGAGAGAAAGACACAGATAGTAACCATAATTGTGAATGTGATATATGAATGTAATGGAATACTATTGTGCTATAAGAAATGATGAACAGGCAGACTTCAGATAAACCTAGAAAGACTTGTATGGTTTGATGCTGAGCGAAGTGAGCAGAACCAAGAGAATGTTGTACACAGTAACAGCCACATTGAGTGGAAGTGATTTTTGATAAATCAAAATAAATTAATTTTTTAAAAAAGGAAAAAAAACTTATGATCCTAATTCATAAATTAAGAAATTAATTAACCAGACAGGGTTATAAATTTCTGAATTTTTATTTCTCTTTGTGTGTGTGTGTGTGTGTGTGTGTGTGTGTGTGTGTAATTAGAACCCTGAAGTTAAAAAAAAATAGTGATACTCTGAAAATGGGCCTACACAGTGAAAACTTGTTTCATTCCTCACAGGAGGTGAAAGCTAAGGAACTCTGTAAGCAGAGTAAAGATTAAAATACAGCTGTCAAGACTCTCCCTCATTCTGTAGTTAAATAGAGCTCCCTGGCTCTCCAGAATCTCAGAAGAGTGCTTTTGTTGAGTTTTTGTTAAAATGAATGAAATAAATGTCATGCTCAGGCTAATATTGATGGCAGCAATCAACACAGAAGACAATCTTCCCTGCCAAGGGCTTTGCAGAGAGCATCCCTGAAGTGCACCATGGAGCCAGTGGGTTCAACCTCAGCAGGGTCCTGAAGGCCTGGGCTCAATGTCAGTAAGATCCAAATCATTTAACTCTATCATCTAGGATTATCTTCTTGCCAGAGGATTATCTGCATTAAGGATTAAATTGAGCACCTTTACTATGTGGCTACTCAGCTAGGTCCTGGGATCCCTCCTCCTAGGAAGGGGATGGATTTTCCTGGAGTCAACTTCTTCTGACTTTGTAACTTATTTGTATTTATTGTTTGTATGTATATATTTATTTGCTGCCTCCCACATTACAACATAAGATCCTTGAAAGGGGAGGGGGATGTTTCATTCATGGTATTTGTATCCCCAGCATGTTGCATAGTAGCTAATCAAACTAGTGATTTAATAAATGCTTGTTTGTTTATTGACAGAATGTGTGAGAGGCATATTTGAACCCACGTCTTACTGACTCTGAAACCAGCTCTCCATCCACTACACCAGCCCATGTCTCCTCCTACCATTCTGGGCAAGCCAACCTAGCTAAAGCATCAAGGCACCATAAAGGACAGAAAGGAAGTGGTATGTTCCAGAAGGGCAAAACCATCTCCTTTTATACTCCAGGACCCTGAGCCCAAGAAGCCCAGGAATAACACTTCAGACTCCTGGCTCTGTATCCAGCTCAGCCTTAGGAGACATCACCAAGGGATAGCATCATTACATCCTTGTGGAAAAGGTGCCCACCATCCCTGGCAACACCAACACCAGTCACTGACCAAATGTCACCAACCAGCAACAAGCTCAAGAGCCCTGGGAACTGTATCA